TGGCAATGCCAGCAATCAGGGAAATGCCGACAGGAGCGCCGATCAATGTGCCCAGCTGCCAGAGAATCTTCTTTTTACGACTCCATGGCTTTTTGCCCCAGAATGTACAGCCAGAGGGGCTTAATAGAAAGAAAAAAAAATATTACATTACCACCACAGCAATTCCTAAGTGTTCCTGAGAACCCCAAGTTCAGCTTCCAGATGAACAAAACCCAAAACTTAGGAAGTGAGTAGACAACGCAAAAAAGGTTTCCCTCTTTTCTTCCCCCCCACCAATATGAATTTGCTCATCAAGGTGATTATCATGCTACTGTTTAATATCCAGTAAGCCAAGAGCTCTCAAATGCAATTGTGTCAGGAGGAGCTTTTCTCGGTGTGGAAAAGCATCCTCATACTGTGAAGTGGGAAGAAAATTCAGCTCTTTGGGTCCGAAAGACAAAAATTTTGCTGCCTGATTGGAGAGGCAGGAGGATGAAAGGCTGACACACAAAATCAACTCCTCCAGCCAGCCTCAGAGAAGCGTGTGCTACCCCACCGGTGGGAGCCCAGGCATGCCTCTCCTCTCCTCACCTGAGGTAATGCAGATCCGAGATCTCCTTCATACACAGCCAGCAGAACTCGCAGCCACACACCGCGCAGGTCATGTGGTTACAGCTCCCATCGTTCATCTTGATGATGTAAGCACTGCAGCGCGGACATGGCTTGATGTCATCAGCTACGGGGAAGAAGCATGGGATTGAGTTGGACTCTCTGTGCTGTGAGTATGCAGAATCAACGAGGGGGTTCTCGTTATGGATTGAAACCCTTATTTTCTGTGCGGGCAGAACACCTTCGCTAATCACAGATAAAGTGGGGATGGTTGAGCCTTTAGTTTATCTTCAGAGCAAGAAGATAATCTTGATGAGGCAGATCCCACCCAAGCCATTTGCCTGGACAGCAGGGACTGAGAACAACAGTCACTTTAAGAGCTTATTCCAGCCTTGAACAGGATGTACTCCAGAACATGCTTAAATGCTGGGACAAGTCATACCTGCCCTGTGCTAGCCAAGGCAACAGCCTAAGCACGAACCATTACTAAATTGCTCCACTAAGGTGATTCACGGGCCAAGAACAACAGAACGGTTGAGAGAAGGCGGCATCGGAGAAACTCCAAACGTGGCCTTCAAAAACAGCCAGAATGGGAACCGGGTCTGCAGCTGCACTCAAGGAGTCCGGTGCAGAGGCTGTCCAGTCCCCAGTTTGCTGCTGGCAGAGCAGGATAAGGGTCCTTCATCTCTTCCTTAATTCAAGCGTCATCTGATCGCAGTTATGCAATGGCTGCGCAGTGGTTCAGGGCTTTGCTGGCAGGCTCTGCAACACTCGATAATATGAAATCCAGCTGCTGAGACCAGCTCGCACCCTATTAATCACTACATTGAATCCAGCAAGAACAGGGTGGGGAAAAACCACTGTCTCAAGAACCTCTCTTTCAGTGGCTAAGTGCTAAGCTCCTCCTGGCAGGGATCTCCTTTAAAAGGGTGTAAAAACTCAAGAAATTATTTTTTGCTTGCTGGTTTGTACCACAGGCTGTGGTAGTATCTATGCTGTCCGTTGTCAGGGACCTCCAACTGGGGCACGTTGAACCTTGACATAGCACTAAGCCACCTTGGAACCACCCACGACAGCAGCGTTCTAAGGAAGCGTATTGACATTTTTAACTCCTGACATAGAAGAAAAAGCAGGGTGTTTTGTTTGGGGTGGGGTGGGGCTTTATGAAACGGCCTTACTGCCCACTTCCAGAGTCAATACAGTTATTTTTAACAAACGCTAACTCAGTAGACACAGCAGCTCCTACCAGGCAGCACAGAAGTCTGTGGGTTGGCATTTTTTCTGTACCTGACATTACTTACACCTAGCTGCACGGAGCAAGGCTCCCCACATTCAGCAAGGCATGAATACTACTCTTTACTACCACAGCAGGCAAATTTGAAGTTGCAAGGCTAAAAAGCACCTATTTGTTCAGGGCTTAGATCAGCAAGAAGCAAGAACATCCAAGATCAAAACAGCCACAAGCCTAGCTGGGGCGGATGAGGGGAGCTGCCTTGACGCGGAAGGACGCAAAGCACATCATCACCTACTGATCTGTTTTGTATTCTTGGAGGAGCCTGCCAGATTTGTTCTAACGCACACGAGAAGGGGAAATGACTCTGACTTTCACAGCTGTTCGCACCCGCGGCTGCTGGAGACCCTCAGCTGTGCCACGCAGCACCATTCCCCGCAGGGCACTAACATCCCCCCTGCTTTGGCAGGACGGGGTTTTCCACGCAGGTGGCTCTTTCTCAGCTCCACAGGCACCGAGTAACCAAAAAACACGTGAATCCCTACCCGGCCCGGATTCCTGTCCATAACTGAGGCCTGATGTGTGCTTGGTCCGTACTCGGAGCGTCTGTGCCCTTTGCTGGCGGGCCATGTCGCAGGTTTGGTTGGGATGCCATATCTGTTTGCAGTGATAGCAGAACTCCGTCTGGCAGCCGTCCCTCTCGCAGGTCAGCTTGGGGCAGCTGGCACAGCCGTAGGCAATAACCGCATAACTGGAGAAGGAAGAGACCGGCTGAATTAGTAAAAGACAAAGTTATCAAGCGATCCTTTTAATCCAGCCTGCCCAGGGGCGGCACAGGAGGCTGTCGCTGCCTGAGCTGCTCTGCTCAAAGCAGCTGGTTGAAGAGCTGCTGCAGTGCGATCTCAGGCTACGGCGAGCCACACATGCTTTTACCCCCGGAGCCTGCAGCAACGTTGCCCTGCGGATCAAGGGATCAGCCCATCTCTCCCATCCCATTTTTTTTCATCTTCTCTCTGATCACTGTCCGTACAGCAGCCTGCACGCTAGACAAATTCCTGCTCTCTCCGGTCCTGTGGCTTGCACTGCAGGGCCTGAAATTAAGTAGAGCTAATTGGGTTACTTGGGGCAGATACCTTTTATACAGACAGCTTACGATATTGAATTCGCTCCTCAGTAACTGCTGGCAGTTCTCACTGTCAATTCACACGGACCAGATCTGTCTTGCCTGGTGTGCCCAGCTAACAGCTTGCTGCTTCTGCCAATTCAGGCTCCTAGGAAAGGCTCACGCTGCTCTTTCCAGGCACCTGCAGCTAAACACACATACCCCGGTCCTTAGGACGGGCATATGAGTGGACGCTACACGGATTGGAGGAGTCTAGGAAAGCTGAGGTTGTCCTGGGCACTTCTATCAACTGAATGATTCTAAAAAAGCGGAAGAACAGGGGCTTCCATGTGTGGCTACCTGAGGAAGCCAGCTCTTAGAATCATAGAATTGTTTAGGTTGGAAAAGCCCTTTAAGATCACCAAGTCCAACCGTTCCCCTAACCCTGCCACCCCACCACTAAACCCTGTCCCTAAGTACCTCGTCTGCCCGGCTTTTGAATACCCCCAGGGCTGGGGACTCAACCACTTCCCTGGGCAGCCCCTTCCAGTGCTTGACAACCCTTTCCGTGAAGAAATTTTTCCTAATGTCCAACCTCTTGTTGAGCTCCACAGACTTTTCTTTTTTAAAGAGCAGTGAAGAAGAACGCTCTGCCTCCAGAGTAAGCCAAAACTTGAGTAAAACCAACTGGATGTGCATGAGAGGGAGGCCAGGCTCAAGCGGCTCACTTCTTCCGATAGCAGCGTGATGCTTCCAGAAGGAAGCACGCTGCGTACACAAAAGTCGAAGCAGCATCACCAAGCGCCGCTACGAGAAAGCTGGCTTACAGTCATCTAGGATGAGGTTGTTTCCACTGGCAGGGGTAGAATTGAGCAATTCCAGAAGCGTCTTCCAGTTCTGTGACACCAGTATGGCAAAGGGTATTTTTGTTGTTCATCGTCAGTATTTTTGTTAGCGGTCAGAGGAGAATAACTCCTATTTAAGGTTTTATATTTAGAGCTTGTGTAGCTCAAGTTGTATTGCCTCTTCTCGGAGGCAGCAGCGTGAGAACCGCTGAATGTGTCATACCACAATGATTCATATCCCGTGGGAGTTTGAGCAACTTCATCCTGCCAGAGTACGACATAATCGCCAAAGAAACAACAGCTCCGCACCGAGCGCGGGGCCGGGAAGCACGACTACAGGGTCTCCGTGTGCATCAACGGCTGCGCACTCCTGCACGTGAAACTAATACTGGAGGAGAGACGGGATACAGATGGCCTGGGGGTTTGGGAGGGACAAACTTGACCCACATTGGATCCTACGCATCTTGTCTAGGGAAGATCCCACTAAGCATCCTTACCCTGCTGCTATCAGACAGCCAAAAACCTACCCTTGGCAAAAAAAAAACCAAAACAAAAAAACCCAAACAACTTCATCTGACCAGCTGTGTTATGACACGCTACTGTTTCAAACCATAATAACGGGCTAGGAAAGCTCAGCGTAATATATTAAGCAACCCCATGCTCCAAATCAACCCCTCACTCAAAATGGATAGTTTTTCTAAACACTTGAGCTAAAATCCTAAGAGAAATTTAAATCATCACCATTGATGGTTTTATTCCTAAAGCTGAAAAGACAAATGTCATGAACCCAGAGCTGGGGGGAAACAAACTACATGACTGCCTACCAGGGAAAGAAATAACACATCTCCGAATTCAAGGTCAACTGGAGAGAGGCTGTTGAAGCAACGTGCCTAGGATGAGCCCTGGCAGGATCTGGATGGCCAACGCATGCGCCCCCTTCACCTGACCTCGGACACATCGCTGTGTTAAACAGCCTCAACCCCAGCAGATGAAAAGGCAAACTCTGACTTTTCCCCATGCACCAATGACAGCGAGTGTCTTCCCGAGACCCCAGGAATCACACAGCATCGTTCCCAGGCCATTCCTTGGATGGCCATGAGTTGCCTCCATCCCTCCGCCTGCTGCTCCGCAGGAGTCAGAGCCTCAGTAGTTGCCTCCCGCCTCATTCACGGAGCCCAGCCTACACAGCTCCGTTTCTTTAAAGGTTCTGTTATTCTCCCAAGCTTCTAGGAGAGATGCAGTGTGACAAACACTAGACAGCGGATGCCGCCTGATTGTAGCAAGGGAAAAAAAAAAAAAAAAAAAAAAAAAAGCTGCAAACATAGAAAATTATTTGTACTGCGATTGATGGCGCATCAATTGACCAGTGTTTCCATGACAACACACACCGGTGTTGTGTTGCTCCTCCTCCTCCTCCCCGGCAGCACAGCCAAGCTCTTTCATTTACGAAAGACTGCGGTACGCGTGGACGGCACAGGATGTCGCATGCCCCACACCCAGGGTTTTGTCTGCCGTCGCCCAGCAGCCCCTCGCTGCCATCGCCTCGGCGGTGGGTGACAACCAGCACTGAGCATCGCCATGCCCCCAGCCCTGCGTTCCCGCTCCGGCTCGGTATGCTGGCGCTACTACGGTGGGAAAGCCCGCTGTAAATAATTCATACCCTGACTTTACATAAGCACAGCGACACAAGCTCGCTGGGAAGAATGAATAGGGTGATTAATTCCTCTCCCTGCCGGAGGGCTGATTCCAACAGCCTTTGTCTGAGCGCTACATCCCAGTAGTAGCACTGGTCCGCAGCAACTGGCGAGAGCTGCCTGGTTTCCAAAAGCCAGGTCACTCCTTGCTTCTGCTGGGCAGCTCAGGGGAGGATGCCCATGCACGTCGCCTGGCTCACCTTGCTAACAGGCTAAGCAGGGAGGAGGCTTTTGCTGGCACAAAGAGCTGTGCATGCCACCGGCCTGCCCAAACCCCCCAAAGCAAGTGCTGGATCAGACTCAAGCTGGGTTACTCTCAAAGAGGCAATGCCCTCCAGGCCAGCTCCTTCCAACCAGCCAGCCTCGGTGACCTACGCTGCATTTGCACCTTATCCTGAACACAGATAAATATCACAGCAGCCAAAGAGCTGAGCTTCAGTAAGGAGGTACCGGATTTTCTCCAGCTGGTTAACAGCAGGGGCATTCCCTCTGGTATTGCTCTGTGGGCAACATAACCTGCTCTATCTCTCTGATCTTATCCCCAGCGCTACTGAACTATCAAGATCTAGTGCTCGGTTTTGCTTCAGAAAGGCGCAAAGCTGTTGTTTGCTATTAAAGTTGCCCTCTGAACAACAAGCCCTTATACAGCCATGCTGGGAGGCTGTGAAATGGGTAACCTGAGCCAGGTTAACCGATTTGCATAGGAAGGCTATTACAGTGCTCTGATTAAATCTTCACAACCCTCCCACCACGCTTTCCATTCTGACTACTAGGTCAGATTTTCCTTTCATGTTCTTGCTACCCAGAACTGCAATCCAAGCCGAGTTCTAGCTAAACTTCGCAGCACTTCTCTAAGTTTCCCAAACAAAGCCCTTTTCCAGGCAGCTTTGGCTTACGCTCAACTAGAAGCCAGCAGAGTTCATTTGAAGGAAAAGAGAAGAGAAAATGAAAGCAACACGCAGATAAAGTCATCAAGCTTGGCTGGGCTGACTTCTGGACAGACAAACAGACACTTCCTCACTTAGGCAACGGATAATGAGTCAACTTAAGCACAGAGTCACTCCTCTGTGCCATGCATTCACGTCCTCACTGGGAAAGAGCGGCTGTTCATGGTTCCTTCTTCCCCACTGTGGAAGCTGCAGTGTCCCCATGCACCGTCCCCACAGCTCGCAGTGATAGACACAGCCAGGAAACTCCACGCTTCCCATTTGTGCAGAAAAAAAAAAAAAAAAAGCTTTCTTTTAAATTAGGGAAATGATGGCTCAGCTAAAATCCCCTTCAAGTCCTATCACTCATACTTGATTTGTTTGTATTTCCACAATCCCCAAGGGCAAATCCTAGTGCTCTAGCGAGGCGGTAGGAATGGACAAAGTGCCATTTTGGTACCCAAGGCCCATCAGCTGTCCTGAAGAGACTGCTGATGAGCAAAGCAGAGCACGCCTGCAGTGAGGGCTCTTCTCAGGACTCGGGAGGACCAGGAGCATGCAGCAGCAGCACCCCCCCACCAGGGGTGAGCCGCCCTTCCCTGTGCTGTCCTGGACCCAGGTGAAGTCAGGCAGCACCCCAGCAGGACAGGGGGTGGGATGCCATCTCCAGGACCTGCTGGGGCTGAGCAGCATCCCACGGGGACAGGGGGTCCAGGACCATCCCAGCTGGAACACCACCCCCAGCTGTCCCAGGACCTGCTGGGGCTGAGCAGCATCCCACGGGGACAGGGGGTCCAGGACCATCCCAGCTGGAACACCACCCCTAAGACCTGCTGGGGACGGGCAGTGCCCCACCAGGGTGGGGGTTCCCCTTCCCTGAGCCACTCCAGGGCGGATGGACGGAGCAGCACCCTGTGGGGACAGCGGGTCCCCCCCCTCC